TAAAGTCTTTTATCATATTATCAAATTTTTTATCATCCATTCCCATATAATTTGATAAATGTGGTTTGAAATTATTCAATATTTTCAAAAATTCTTTCAACTTTAAATTTCCAATTTTTTTTAATTTAACATTATTATTATTATTATTATTATTATTATTATTATTATTATTATTATTATTATTATTATTATTTTTATTTTTCTTATTATTATTATTATTATTATTATTATTATTATTATTATTATTATTATTATTATTATTATTGCTACTACTACCGACGTTGCTGTTGTTGTAATCAATATTTAATGAAGAGAATGAATGTTGTTTTCTTGCTTTAATTCTTGACCAATTACCGATCGGAAAGAATTTTTTTTGGATTGTAATATCTGTTAGTTCGTCGGGTTTTTCTTTTAATATTTGTTCGAGCGTTTTGCTGATAATTGGTTCAATACCTATTGATATTAAATATTCTTGGACTAAAAAAGAGAAAATTTTGTTAGAAAAAAAAATCCCAAACAAAAAATTATTATACATTTACATATAATAATAATTACCAGACTTGAACAATTTTTTAGTAACAGGTCCATTATTAAATGTTACTAAATCCCATTCACAAATTTCAATATAACCAATGTCATCATTACTAGAGTTTTTCAAAACATTTATAAGTTTATTTATTATAATTGACCAATTCACTTTAAGTAAATTCAAATTCAAATATCTCAAATGAACAAAATCGAAAGTGTTGTTATCATATGGCAACGCTTTCTCTAACAAATTTAAATATAAAAATGTCGCGTTCAATTGTTTTATATTGTTTTGTGATGGAAAAATTGGTGATCTGTCAATTCCTATGAAAATTGAAAATGGATACTTCAATGACATGTCTAGTATCCAAGTTCCTTTTCCACAGCTACATTATCATTAGAAGAACGAGAAAGATTACGACGAGAAAAAAAATTTAAAAATTAAAATCACTATTAATAATAAAATAAAATTAAAAACAAACTAACCCAACATCTAAAACATGAACTCTTTTACGACTGGACAAGATATCGTGTATCGGAGATATAAAATTAGCATTCCATAATTGCCGATTTAAATAATGCGGTATTTCCAATTGGTCGATATTATCTAACATCTTATCGTCGGGTAATGAAAATTCATCATTATCGTTAGGTGATATAAATATTATATCATCAAGATCATTGTCTTTAATAAAACCACCATTATCACCGAATTCTATAGGCCTTATAGACGGTGAAACTTTGGGTGAGGTAGAGGAAGAACTGGGTGTAGTAGTGTCTCTGTGTTTTAAGCGATTTCGTAGTAATTTTAATTTTTTTCGTAAGCAGTTTTTTAATTTATTTGTTGAATTATTTTGATTGGTAGTTGTAATAGTAATAGGAATGCTGTTATTGTTGGCGGAGGTGTTGGATAATTGTGATAATGGTATATTAATAGTATTATTATTATTATCGCTATTATTTAGAGAAAAACAATTTCCCATTTTATAAAGATTTAATTGATACTGTCTAGGTTAATGAAATATTACAATTTGAAATGTTTAATAATTTAAATTTTTTTTAGTTGTAAAATCATTTTCAACTTGCACATTTTCAGAGGTATCCAAATTATTTAATCTTAAAATAGATAGCATGGGTGAGTGTTTGACTTATCATCAAGAAAAGACCAATTTGAATGGAATGGATGGATATATCAAGGAAACTGTTTGTGACCTCAAGGTAATGGTAACTTTGTCATTTACATTTTTTATCCATTGGATACATTATTTAATTATCCAATATTTTATTAGCGTTTGCACAGGGCATATGATGATGTTTCAGGGATCAATGAAGCATCATATTCTGTTTTCATAAGAGCGGTTCTTGTTGGAGTTCTACAGACATATAATCCAGTGGACAAATATTTACTTCACAAACAGAAGCTGATCACAGGAAATTATGGAACTGGACAATTGATTTTGCAATAAAAAAAAGCAACAATTAATTAGCATAACTGAAGCAAAAAAAGAAAGTATTACTCAAGGATTTGCACAGAATCTAGTACAATTACATAGTTCATATATGGTTAGTTTTAATATTTTTTTGGAAATAACATATTATATTTTCATGATGCTTATTAAAATTTGCAACATTTATTTATTTATTAGACCAATCAAAGAAAAACTGACAATGAAGAAACTTCTAAATTACAAGTTCTATTTGGTATTGTCTCAACAGGCACTTTCACCACATGATCCATGAACCTAATAAGAAATACCCAATTGTTCAGAGAAGTTCTCTTTCAGCAATAAATTTATCTGTAATTGGTAATATATTTGATGAAAAAGTGGTGAAAGAAGAGGTATCAGCATTATTTTATTACTTGAAATGGTCAATATATTTGTTTGGTGAGCTGTCACACATGGATGATGATGCTAAAAGGAAAAAATTAAATATTTAGGTGTTATTTTTGCATCTTGTATTATATTATATAGTAAAACTTTTGAATATTGATGTGGGAGATATTTTCAGGACATCCACCTTTTGATAATAAAGCACATGATTATTATTTAATTATGGAAATTTGTCAAATATGCCAGAAAAATATGCAAAAATGATGCAAAAGTATTGGAGAACTTAAATGATAAAATTGCTTGATTTGTTATTTTAGATATTTACATATTATTTATATATATATTAATTTAATTTTTAAACAAATAATAATAACTTATATACAAATACAATTTAAATAAGTGAATTAATTTTTAAACAATCTTATATTTATCAACTTATACAAATAAATAAATATTTACATATTAATGTTGTGCATCAAATTTAAATCTTTATCAATTTAAATTTGATACACTTCCAAAATGATAGCTCAAAAGAAGTTAAGAGATGGACAGATTAATTAGTAGTCTGCTTTTGTTAGATTTTTTTCTTTTCATAGGAAAAATCTTCTCTTGTAGGAAAAATCCTACTTGGCAAAAAAAAAATCCCTCATAGGATAAATTCTCACATTGTATTCTTCCTACTGATTTAGATTTTTTTGAATTGGATTTTTTGCACCTGTTGTAATTGTTATTTGTGGTAATGGTAACTACCAGTCCAAATATTTACAGTGAGTGTCTTTAATTACTATCTCTCAACAGTGAGAATGAATTAGAGATAATCATCCTGATTTTGATATTTTTATTGTGCAAAAATTACTTCATGTAGAGACAATTTACCATCAAATAATACCCTGATTACAAATATTCTCACCATAATCCAGTATTCTAATATTTATCATGTTAAAACTACTGTCTCTGATCTAAAAGATGAATATTTTGCCAAAGCTGCTGATGAATATAAAAACAATATTTCAAAAAATAAAAGAAATTATGATGATGAATATGATTATGAATAGCAGGTATAACTTTTTTAGGTTTTATAATTACCACATTAAAAGAATTAAAATAAAAAATAAATCAATATTGTAACAATTAGATTATTTTCCTTCTGATTATTTTTGCTTTTTGTTAGGTAATAGCACACTTTCATTCTGCTTTCTTTTTCTAACATCTATTATTTTTCTTTCTTCTTGGTAAATCTCATAGGTAATCCTTTCTTTTCTTAGATAAGCTTCCAGCGTCTGAGTATCAATTATTTTGAAAATATAAGGAGCAATTTTTTCACCTTCAGAATACTTCTAATGGTGCTGTGATTTTTGGGATCTGATATAAATGAGTTTCATATTAACTATTTTTATCTAGAGATAATCCTAAAGCAGATAATATCATTATTGATCCCTAAAATTCCAAATTGTATTATTATGTGGAAAATAAAAATCATTTTAGATAATCAAATTTTAGTCAAGCTATAGAAAAATTTTTTATTCAACTGCAGTTAACTGGGTTTTGATTGAACAGTGGTTGGGCTGAACTGCTCCCATTCCTACATAAATGTATGAATTATCATATGGTTTAATTGATGACATAATGCAACATATTGAACATACCTTAGTAAGCAGCATGTTGTATATCGTTGTAATTAGTTCATCTACATCAGCCAAACTTGATGGAACTTTTTGTGGTAGGATACCTGCAAAACCTACAAACACTGCCTGAAGGTATATCTATTACTAAATGCTGATGTTGAGGAACTGGAAAAATAATGGAAATAAATACTCAGTTTAATAAAAGATTCATATATGATACAAAGATACATTACCAGAATGAAGGGATCATAGAACCTCCAGATGATGTGTCTTGACAAAGCCTAATGTATTTTTTGCAGCATCACTTTAGGTAACTTGATAGATCCATCTGCTAAATATTTCGTCCCATTCACCATTCCATTCTTTCCTTCCCCACTCACAGCATGCTCATTAGGTTCATCTTTTTTGTGAAGAATTACATCACATTTTCTATCCATTTTCTTTTTTTTTTTTGGCATTCATCATTTGTCCCAATTCAAGAGAATGACCTTCTCCCCTAAAAGAGAATTTTCATATATCTAATAGGCTGCAAAATCAATAATTTACAAAATGTATACATGCAGCCCAAACTATTATTATTATGACTTTGACATGTTGTAATATCATAATATCAAATTTCCATAAGTTGTAATGTCATAATAATGTTGTAATGTATATTGGGTCACATGTTGCAATATGATTGGATAGCACTTCAATAAAATTGTTCTAATGACTATAGACTATGAACTATCTACTATTGGCTATATAGTAACTAACTACTTAAACTAATTAATTAAATAATTAATTACCATGTTGGTAGAGGCAGATAATTCATTTCTGTAACACAAACTAATTCTTTTTAATAAAAACACTTTTGTAG